TAGTAGTACTGGTAATAAATGCTATGGAAAAAGACAAACCAGATGGAGAAAGGGGACTGATCTTGCTGGATGAATTTTTGTTTTAATAGAGTGGTCAGGGTGGGCCTCCTTGGGAAGTGATACTTGAGCAAAGACTTGAAGGAGGAAGGGGATGAGCCAAAAGACATATGTGGAAGGGACAGCCTGTGCAAAGGCCCTGAGGCAGAAGGGTGCTGGCCTGTTCCAGAAGAGTAAGAAGGCCTACGCAGCAGGAGCAGGGGAGGAAGTAGCCTTGTGAGGACACTGGTTTTGCTCTGGGGGCTGCTGCAGTATTGTGCAAAAGCATGGCAGGATCTGATTTGGATTTTAAAAGGCTCCTCTGGCTGCTGTGTAGGGTGGGAAAAACAGAAGCAGCAAGATCAGAAAGGAGGCCACCAGCAATCCAGGGGCCAATCTGGGTGGTCCTGGGAGATGGGGAGAAGTGATCAGAGCCCTTCTGATCTGAGGGCAGAGCTGGACCACGAGGCCTTATTTCAGCTTCCCCAGCCCTCGGCAAGCTGGACACGATTGCTCCCATCCTACAGCAGAGCCAGCGGAGGCAGGGAGCTTGTGTCGCTTCCTCTGCGTTCAGCCGTGTGTGCACGGACAGCCTTGCAGCCTCCAGAGAGCAGCCCCAACCTCGGGCAGAGGGCTGCGGAGGGGCCCCCACCTGCCCACCTGGCACCCCATAAAGCCAGCTGGAGCGTGAATTGATGGGCCATTACCAGCCCAGCACCCAGAGCAACCATGTCCCCAGCAGTTTATAAACTCGTAAAAATGCCATGCTCACGCCCACGCGTCTGCCTCCTTCACTGTGAATGAACGGGCTTTCCCGGGAAAGAGGCCCCCACTGCCAGCATCCCCGTGCCTGGGAGGACGCGACAGGGCACCTGCGTCCCCTCCCCGCCAGCCCTGTCCTGGAGTCTGCCTGTGACGGGCCTCTCGTCCCACCTGGCCAGTGGCCCTGGCTCCCCTTCCTCGCTGCTCAAGGAGGCCCTAGGGGGACAGGTAGGGCCAGAAGAGGAAACAACCTGTGGCCACCAGCAGCCCGCAAGACCGCATCAATGATGGCGAACTACGGCCCTCCGCATGGAAGGACCGCCACAGGCCACCGGCCGGCGAGACCTGGACACAGTGGGCTGGCACCCAGGTCAGTATCCTCCAAGACCAGGGCTGCCTCACTCAGGGGCTTGCCTCAGGGTGCCGCCCGATGCAACCCTGCCCTGGCCCTTGGCACAAGTCCGGCATAAGCCTTTCAGGAACACACTGCAGCTGGAGTCCAGGTGGGAACACCGGAGGTTCAGAGAGCTTGCCTGAGGTCACAGAGTGGCAAGTGGCAGAGCCGCTTGCCCTCTGCTTCCCGGGCCTCTCCTCACCTGTTCTACTGGCTGTTTCCCTCCGGGTCCCGCCTACCACGGATCCCGAGGGTCTCACAGGGTCACCGGCTGGGCTGTCCCCGCCCCCACTCCCAGCGTCTGCCGAGGCCTCTGCTCCTACTCTTTGGGGACCCTGCCCAGGAAATGGGCCCCTCCCCTCCCCTCGAGAGCGAGAGCGAGCCCGTTCCAGGGACGTCCTGCCGGGCGGGACGAGACGAGAGGGCACAGGAGAGGGCGCGACACCGCCCATACCTGCGTCTGGTGGGGCTCTGGCGCCACCTAGCGTCCTTCTGCAGCACTGCGGCCGCTACGAGAGCCGAGCTGGAGTTGGGTTTTGAACCCCATCCTTGAATCCTGTCAGCCACCTCAACGCACCACCTCGACCATGGCTTAGTATATTTTTCTTTAAATCAACTCACAGGAAAAAGAAATCAACTCACAGGTCTTACCTAGCCTCATCATAGCCAATAATTTCTGCAAAATCCCAGGTCTGATGTAGCCGTGGCATTTTGTTCTGATAAACCTTAAAATTAATCCTAACTACATGGAACCTGTCAAATATTATACTCAAGTGCCCCATAAAATCGGCTCCCAGATGGCCTCTGGGCAGCAAGCACCCTGGAAGCCATCCCTTAGCAGACAGTGGCAGGGCCAGGAGCCTCCATGGGCGGTGGGGGGACTCGTGGCCCCTGTCCTACCCAGCTGGTAGCCACAAGAGCAAGACATTAATTCAACATCTGCAAGAATAATTCCAAAGAGATGACTCGATAGTCCTGCGGAGGTGTGAAATGGCCGCACGTGAGGAAGGCCCTGAGACTCGGGACGGGAGCTGGGGGATCCTGGAGGGCTTCCCGGATGCAGTGCTGGAGCTGAGGCTTCCAGGAGGAGTGGAAGTGGGCATGGTAAGGAGGGAAGGAAGGTGCTCTGGGCAGAAGGACAAGCAGCTCCAAGACCACCAGGCAGAAGGGAAGCCCGGGCCGATCTCCGGGGCTATGCGGGGCACAGCTCCTGCCCACGGCCCAGGTGGGCATCTGCCTGTGGGTCTTCAGTCCTTTGTCCGCCTCGCCCCCACCTGTCTCATCCATCCACATCCCCAGCCCAGCCAGAGGCTTTCCATCGATTTCCTTTTCTTCCTTGTAGTCCTAAAGTTTTGTTTTGTTTTGTTTTGTTTTGTTTTGTTTTGTTTTGTTTTGACACCGGGGATTGAACTGGGGACCTTGTGCTTGCAAGGCAGGCGGCGGAACCACTGAGCTAAATCCCTGGTCCTGTAGACCTAAAGTTTTTCTGTCAGGCTCCCCCTTCTCAAATCAAGAACAATTAAGTTCAGAGATGTGGAGTTATTTTCCCCAAGGCACACAGCTTGGTGGAGCCAGGAAATCATACTCAAGCCTGATAGCTGTGCTCTCTTAACCACATCGGGCTGCCTCCCAGCTGTGTCCTACCTCTTAACCCCCTAGACTTACTAGGAGCCAGGAGATTCAGCTTTGCACTAACTTGCTGAGCACCTTTGGGCAGGTTGCTTCCCCTCTCTGAGCTTATCTCCTAATCTGTAAAATAAGAAGGATGTCCAATGTGGTGGCTCACACCTAGCCATTTGCACAGCAGCCCTTGGAAGTAGTGCATGGGTCCTCCTGGGAAGAGGCAGGTCTCGGGGGGAATGGCCTGGAAGCCCACCTCCTGGCTCTGCCCTTGCCCTCTGCCTCCTGGCTGCAGTGAGGTGAGCCCCTTCCCTCTGCATCAGATTCTTCTGCCTCTGCAGCTGAGCCTGCCGACCATGGACTGACTTCTGGAACTGTGAGCTAAAATACACCTCTCCTCCTTTCAGTTGTGGGTGTTGGGTATTGGGTCTCAGCAGCAAAGAAAGTGACCAAGACATAGGGTTATCCCCTGTTATAGGTGAGGACACGAGCTTAGAGAGGGTTAACAACCTGTCCAAAGTCACACTGCTTGGAAGGAGTGAAGCATCACAGAACCATCTCTGATGTCAGGCATATGGACTCTTCCGAGTGTGGCTTCCCAAGGGCTCCTAGCCTATGCCTGGAATTACAGCCCATTTCTACCCTGATCCCTAGGCCACAGCGCCTGAGTCCAAACTCTGCTGCCTGAGGCTACGGGACATTTCTGTCCAGAGGGGGAGGGCCGGGATGTGGCCTACACCACAGCAAGCTGAGCAGGACCCCTGTTCCAGCCAAGCTGGTTTTTGCTGCCCCCAGAATCACTGGCCCATCCCAGCCCTCTGGGAGGCCTTTACTGTCCTAAGCCTTGTTCTTTTCTAATCAATGCAAGGATTGTTCCTGGCATTGGAAAATATGCCACTGCCGGCTGCCTTTACCCTGGGAACCCTGAGGAGCCTGGCCGACTGGCCTCGACTTGCCCTGGCCTGGGAGGAGGGCTGGAGCCATTGGCCAGGGTCCCCACTGGGCTCCGATGGTGCAGAAGGAGCTCTAACAATGATGTCAGGAGCAGGGCTCGTAGGCCCATGCTCACCGTTTTGAGCAAGGAAACCACTGAGCTGGCTGAGGGACAGAAGCAAGTGCCAGAGCACAAAGCCCGAAAGGAGCTGCAGGTTTTGCAAAGCAGGTGCCCAAGCGACGGAGAGCTGGGTCTTAGACTGACAGAGAAAGACTGGTTGTTACTGAGCACTTCCTACCTGCTGGTGCTGTTCTAAGGACCCCATGTCTCTGACCCGCGCATACCCCATCCAGCTGAAAATAAAGAAACTGAGGCACAGAGAGGTTAAGCAGCTTGCCCAAGCCCACACAGCTGCTAAATGGTGAAACCAGGCCAGTTCTCAGGATGACCCCATCCGACCTCTCTGCATTACACAGGTACCTAAGGCCCAGAGAGGGTCATTAACTTCCTCAACACTGCACAGGGAGTAGGGGCTGGGCCAGGATGAAAATGGGGGGTTGTAAGGTCCTGGAACGCAAGACTAGAACAGGTGCTCAGAAGGATGCAGGGTTAGACCCTCTATGGTCCTGACGGATCCCTGGTGGGGAGAGAAAGGGCCGTGTGGAAAGCCTGTTTCAGCAGAGGTGGAAGTCTAGACGTAAACCCCAACACAGAAAAACACAATGGCCTCATGTGAAATCTTCAGTATTGACGTCAAGCAAGAGTCTAACCTCATTAGTAATTAGAGAAATGCCAAGGAAAACCACAGTGAGACACCACTGGACACCAATGAAAAAGCTAAAACGGGAAAGACTGACCACACCAAGTGTTGGCAAGGAGAGGGGGAACAAGGACCCTACCTCATTGCTCAGGGAATGGAAAGTGGCATCACCACTGTGGGACAGGGAGGAGGTTTCTTTAAAAGTTAAATGTACACCTCCCATGTGACCCAGCCCCAAAGAGCACGGACCTCAGGATCCACCAGCAAGTGAGTGGGTGGACCACTGTGTTGTTCCACACCACAGGACGTGACTCAGCACCCACAGACTGCTCATATACAGGGTGACGTGGATAATTGCAAAATCAGTGTGCTGAAGAGGCAGCTGGACAAGATGAGCTAGCACTATAAGATTCCATTTATGTAAAACAATAGAAATTCCTGTAAAATTCCGGTAGAAATAGATGCAGATCAGAGGTTTACTGGGAGAGGGTGAGGGGGTGGAAAGGTGACAGGGGGTCACAAGGGAGGTGAAGAATATGTTCACTGATTTTGTTGATGGTTCCAAAAATGTACACACACACACACACACACACAGACACACAAATCGTAAACTTCAAATGTATGCAGTTTATTGTGTGTCCACTGTATCTCAGTGAAGCAGACTAAAACAGTCCTATGTTAAGCTGTCCCGAGGAGGCCCAGAGAGCTGTCTCTGGCCGCCTGGAGTGGCCTGGACGAAGCCCCAGGCACCCCGGTGACTCTCCAGGCCCCACCTAACCCCAACCTCCACTACAAAGCCCCAGATTTCAGAAGGAGGCTTAGAGGTTAATTAGCCTAGCCTCTCATGGTACAGAAGGAGAAACGGAGGCCCAATCTTCAGCACCGTCACTGTTACCAGAGTCCTCATGCTAGGAAGTGCACTGTGGAGGGAATCCTCACCTGCAAAGCCCCAAGCCACTGTCGGTGTTGGTGAAACGCACATGACCCAGAACCACTCAGCACACTTGAAGGTGACCAGCGTGAGATTGGGACCCTGGGGCCGGGGCTGAGGCTCTGAGTGAGTCACATGATCACTGTGTGCCACCTCTGTCTGGCCACCAGGTCCCTGCTTTCATCTGCCAGGATCAGGAAGCCAACTCAGTCCCAGCTGAACACAACGGGATCCAGAGCTCACAGAGCTGTGAAGGCCCCCAAGGACGAACCCAGCAGCAGCTCAGACACCAGGAGATAGGTTCCTGGGCTCTCTCCCTTTGGGTTTTTGGTTGTGGTTTTTTGTTTTTTGTTTCTGTGGTACTGGGACTTAAACCCAGAGCCTTCACACTGAGCTCCTTCCCCAGCCACCACCACCCCTTTTATTTTTCTTTTTTAATTTTGACACAGGGGCTCGCTAAATTGTCCAGGCTGGGCTTGAACTTGTGAACTTCCTGCCTCAGCCTTGGAGTGCTGGGATTACAGGGGTGTACCACCATACCCAGCTGGCTCTCTGCCTTTTGATGGGGGGCTGCCCTCCCCCAAAGTTGGCAGCCCATGGGCTCCAAGATGCTGGCCAGAGCTACAGGGCTAAGGGATTGAGGGTGAGCAGGCTCACAACCTGGGGAATGCAGAGGCCTCCCCACACCCTTTGGTGCACCCGGGTGTGGACTGAGACGTCTGTCCCACAGGAGCTAAGGGGCGGCCTGGGAGCGCGGAGGGGGAGCGAAGGAGAGGCCAAGCAGGAGCCACAGCCCACCCAGCCAGGCTCCTGGAGGCTCGCTGAGGTGGGAACTCCTGTCTGTGCAAAAGAGGGTGGCCAGGGCGGAAAACACTCCATGGTGTGTGGCACAGTGCAGTAATGTGTGTCCTTGGGCATTTTGATTTCCAATTTTATTTCATTTAAATTTTTGAATAGCTAATGCATTTCACATACCTCAAAACTCACAAGATGTAAAATCACACGTGGTGGAAACTCTCCTGGTCTGTCCAGTGCTGAGCAC